AGGTCAATGATCTCCTTGCCGATGGTGTAGTGCCCGCGGGCGTAGTTATTGGCAGCATCTTCCTTGCCTGTGATGAGCTGCTCAGGATGGAAGAGCTGGCGGTAGGTGCCAGTGCGAACTTCATCTGCAAAAGGAAAACAAAGTGGCCACCCATCGTTAACTACCTGCACAAGCCTATCAGTGCAGCCCCCCAGGACAGAGCTGCTGTGCCAGGCCCCTGGGATCTCACTAGGGCTCCTGAGTTCAACTTACCAATGACCGTGGGTTCCAGGTCCACAAACACTGCCCTGGGCACGTGTTTGCCAGCGCCCGTCTCACTGAAGAAGGTGTTGAAGGAGTCATCTCCTCCCCCAATGGTCTTGTCACTTGGCATCTGGCCATCAGGCTGGATGCCATGTTCCAAGCAGTAGAGCTCCCAGCAGGCATTGCCAATCTGGACACCAGCCTGGCCAACGTGGATAGAGATGCACTCACGCTGCACGGGGGCAAAAACAACCAGAATTAAACTAGTTATGACTGTGGAATGGAACAAAATAGGCATTTCTCCATTTAGAACAACTTGCGTTTTCAGTATCACTTTGCTTAATTTAAGCTATAATAAATGGCTACACAGGAGATCATCCATCAAGCACTCAGGCCCTCACCCCCCACCTCGGACTGGGTGGCCAGATATCCTGGCAGCTCCCAGCACAGAAGTAGGAGGCCAGAGCTGAGGAGAGGAAATGGGTGATGGGTGGGGCTCTGCGGCACAGGATGAATGAGCAATTCTGAGGTGCGCATGCCTGTGACTGCATTTCCTTGTGTCCAGTGAGGCAGCTCAGCTGCAGAGGCACGGAGGGGCCACGGTTTGTAGTGATGCAGCCATCACCAGCATTGGGCTTGGGGCAGCAATCTACATCTGCTAAGGTGCCGCAGGGGATTATCAACAGCTCAGATCTGGACCTAGATCCATTTTCCACTCCCTCAAAAATCCCTAACTGCCAGCACCTGCTCCCACGAGCAGTCCTAACACAGCAGGGAGGCCAGGGAAGGACTGGAGGCCTCTACAGGCTTCTGAGAGCTAATAGTGCTAATGAAATCAGTAACCAGTTGCCGTTGAGTAGGCTCATGGCTACTCCATTGTGAGATCAGAATTGTGCTCTATAGGATTTTCAATGGCTGATATTACAGATGCAAATCACCAGGATCGCCAGGCCTTTCCTCTGAGGCCCCCTGGATTGACCCTTGGGTTAGCTGCCAAACATTTTAACTGTTTGCACCACCTAAACCAAAAACCCTGGCCAGCAACTCACAGCGACGCTGCAGGACAGAGTAGAACTGCCCCATAGGGTTTCCAAGGCTGTAATCTTTACGGAAGCAGACTGCCATATCTTTTTCCTGTGCGGCAGCTGGTGGGTTCCAACTGCCGACCTTTTGTTTAGAGCCCAGCGCTTTAACCACTGCTACCAGGGCTACTTTGCACCACCTAGGGACTCCTAATTGTCTTAGTACACTCGTATAACCCAGTACTGACACGGAGCTCCTCCCCACATTCATTAAATTGCTTTAATTAAAAATAAAATAAAAAAAAACCTCGGGTTACCAGGACCTGCTCTCCACCCATAAAACCGCATTCCCCCCCACCCCAGCGCGCATGCGCGCAGGGTGCTGCGGCGGTTTTCCGCAGCCCGCTGGCGGGAAGGTAACGGTCGCGCCTGCGCTTTAGTCGCTCCGCGCCTTCCCGCCCCCGCTTTTCGCGCCGAGGAGGAAGTGAGGGCACAGAGTCCGCGCCCGCGCGCGCGCTCGTCAAAGGCAGGGGGAGGAAGGGGGATGGGCACGCGCGGGAAAACAATGTCGGGTCTTGAGCTGGACTCCCGGCGCCGCGCCCGGGCGCTAAGGGGCTAAAAGAGAGCCAGCCCCAAGCATGGCGGACGAAGCCTACACCCGACCATGCGTTTTCACCGTCCCAAAACCCGAGGAGAAAACGGGGAGGCCCCTCTCTCCCGGCCTTAGCCACTCTCCACAAACCAGGGTCTCACCTACTCCCACCCTCACCCTCTCGCCTCCCTTTTCCCAATGTGTATGGACAGCGTTGACCCCAGCTCTCTGTAGCTAGAGGCCCTGTCTGCCTCGCTTCTCCTTTTTCCGAGCGAAGCTGGCGCCGGGTGCGGCCCACTCACCATGCTGGCTACGGGTTAGGAGGCGAAGGCGACAGGAGCACACACCGGGTCCCGGTTACCGTGCTCGACAAGCTAAGAGTCGAGGTAAGTAACGCACTAAGGCGGGGCGGCGCTGGAGCGGCTTAAGTAGCGGCCCGGGGACGGAGGGCGGGCACAGGCGGTGCGGCGGCCGGCGGGCCCCTCCTTCGGCCCGGCGCGCCCACTCGGGGCCCAGCCTG